CTTTAATTTTATTATTAACTATTTCTCTTCTTGTTGTTGTTGTTGTTATTGTTGCAAGATTCAATGTACATATCCTTTTTAGTAGGTAAAACTTTAATTTTACACAATGTCTAACAATTCAGAAAAAGAGTGTTTTGACGCTAGCACAACAAATATTGGTCTTTGCACATCTCCTTTAAATAAATTTGTATGGAATATGGCTAACACAAGAGTATTGTTAGATTTATGGAAAGATAATTACAAAGCATTAACATCTGCAAGAAGAAACACAAACATTTACAAACAAATGGCAGCTGAATTTTCAAATACATTTTATATCGTACCTCCGTTAACTGGATATCAAATTCAATCTAAAATTAGTAATTTGAGGAAACAATTTAGGTATGTACATATTCTACATTTAATGTTTGATACCTTACTGAAATACTGAAAGTATTTTACAAAACTAACCATGTGTAATAATATCTAATTGCAATTTAGTTTGTAACTGAGTGTTATATTAAAAATTACTTAAATCTTATTCAGTATTGAAGATTTACAGCTCGTTGATAATTATTTTGTTAATAATTTGTTATTTTATTATTCGTTAATAGTTCGGTAATTTTGTTAATAATTATTTCGTTAATAATAATTTATCCATTTAAAGTTATTTGATTAATGTTATACGGTGTTAATGATGTGGTTATATTTACTTATATTTATGTATATTTTTCATAGACGAGAAAAACTTCAAGTTGGTTCATCGGGAGGGGCTCCTAGTAAATGGTGGCCTCACGATATTGTTGCCAAAATAATAGGTGGTGAAGCTTCCTTTGACATTGACCTTTTATCTCAAAGTCAAAACTTTTCTACTCATAATTTTCAAGATGGTCAGGTAAGTTTAGTATAATTTATTGTTGTATATTTTAAAGTGCTATATATTTTTTAAAGTAATATAAACAAGCATGTTAACTATTTCTACAAAATAAGGTTTAAGAGGTTCTTAGTTTTGCAACATTTGGCAGACTTAAAACATAAAGATCAGAAACATATAATATAAAGTTTTTGAATTATAAAAGGGATCTTTTAACATTGGCTAGATCAATTTGTAAAATGCTATTGTCTAAATAGATCCTTTTTGTTTAGGGAAGGAAGGGAGTAAAATGACTTCAAGTCAAGTCTTTCAAAGTCAAGAGATAAATTTTGATTGAAACGTGATTTATAATCATTTCTCAAATGTGTAATTTTTTTAATGTGTATATTTTATTTACAGATTGCCACAATGGAAGATGGCAAGGAGACTGTCAGTATTTTAAATATTGAAGCTTTGGATAATACAAGTGATGTGCAATCAATTGTCACTATTCCTGATAAGGAACCAACTCAATCTACATCCCTATCGGCACATCTAGTTTCTTTTTCGGAAATAAAACCTATATACACCTTTTTAAGATGTAAATGAGAACATGAAAGTTGTAATTAAGAAGTCGTAATATGTAATTAAGAAACACAACATGTAATTGAGAAAACGTTATATGTAATTGAGAAACACAACATGTAAATAAGAAGTCGTAACATGTAATTAAGAAACACAACATGTAATTGAGAAAACGTAAGATATAATTGAGAAATCATAATATGTAATTGAGAAATCGTAACTTGTAATTGAGAACACATAAATTAAAATAGCAAATTCACAGTCTAAGTTTGTAGGTTGTTACAAAAGGTCTTTTTGGACATGAATTTAAGTTATAATCTTAAATTTTGCTTTTGTATGCACAAGTAATAATAATGGAATTGAAAGATCGTTGTGTTATATGCCAATACACTATGACCCGAAAGTCTGTGATTAAGCTAAATCCGTGTCAACATTTATGTCACCAAACTTGTTTACGTCCAGTTCTGGAACAACCAGATTCAAGTTGTCCGATTTGTCGGCATGAAATACACACAACTGAACAAGTTGAAAGGAAGCGTTACGTTTTATCTTCTCCAAATGACAGGAGAAGAGTTGTTGAATGTGCGGAGCGATTTAAAGATTGGGTGAATCTCGCGCAAACGCTAGGTATCAAATATAAGACAGCATACAATTGGGTTCGCAGCGGAAATTCAAATTTCATCGGAAAAGGAGGTTTTAAACCGAAAAAGTTGACCGAAGATCAAATCGAAGAAACATTAACATGGATTGAAAATGATTGTCAATTAACATTGGTGGCCATCAAAACAAAGATATTAAGACAATTTAACATAAACGTTAGCACAACAACAATAGCAAATTACCTTGAAGGCAGATTGTTCTCATTAAAAAAAGTGCACAAGGAGCCTTCTACAATGAACAGTTATAACAAAAAAAAGCTGAATATGTTAGAAACATCAACGAACATATCACAAATGGTCGTCAGATAGTTTGGTTGGATGAAACAAATTTTAACCTTTTTTGTAGAAAAACGCGCGAGACAAGGAAAAAGAGCAATTATGAAACTACCTGCTTTAAAAGGTTTAAACATACACTTGATCGCAGCTATTTCAACTACAAATGTCGTCATGATAGAAACTCGCAGGGGATCATTTAAAGCAGATTCCTGTAACGAGTGGATGTTGGCTATGTTTCACCAGTGGGTTACATCCGGGAATCGTTTGGAGGATTTGGTCGTCGTAACAGATAATGCTCCTTGTCACGCTCGTTTGCAAAGGGTGTTTGATAATTTACCAGCTCAGTTGTTACGTTTGGGACCTTACAGTCCAATGTTGAACCCGGTGGAAACGATCTGGTCCAAAATTAAAAGTAACGTTAAAAATGCAATTCGCATTCCACCTGTATTAGGTGACGGGATTGCGGAACAGCGCATGCAGTACTTAGAACGAATTGTAATTTAATGGGAGGAGATTGTGCACGTGCGGTACAACACACAACCACGCACTATGCGACTATTTTAAATATGGAAGACGTACAAGTTGATGCTTAAATGATCAATGAAGTGATTAATTATATAATTTTTAACTATAATTTTTAATTGAATTATAAATTTTTCCCTAAAATGTTTTTAGTGTTTATTATGTTAAATTCATTTGCCCAAAAATTATAAATTTTTCCCTAAAAAATTAAATTTACGCTACAAATCTTGCGTTATTTTTAAGTGCGTCATTTTATACGCTCCATTTTTTTACGCGCCATTTTTTTAAGCGCCATTTTACACTTACTCTTTTAAAGCGATATCTAAATTAAAATTTTCGTGTTCTTAATTACATCTTTCTATTTCTTAATTAAAACTTACATTTTCTCAATTACATGTTACGATTCTTAATTACAATTTTCGTTTTCTAAATTACATCTTATGTTTCTTAATTACAACTTACGTTTTCTCAATTACATCTTACGTTTCTTAATTACAACTTTTGTTTTCTCAATTACATCTTACGATTCTTAATTACAATTTTTGTTTTCTCAATTACATCTTGAAAAGGTGTAGACACGTATTTTTCACGATCCAGGCGTAAACCAAAAGCACGTGTTTATTACGGGCAGTTTTACTAGAGTTTAACACGTGTTTTTTGAGGTTTTAAAGTCAAATTTAAATGTTGCATGTTTTTATCAGTGGTTTCACATTCCTTACGGAGAGTTATTAAAATATAATACTACGTTTCCATAACGGTGAAACCATTAATACTTTAACTGGTAGTTATGGTAAATAGTAATAGTTAATTTCACGGAATAAAAACCATTTAGGATACGTGTTATTCTATTTGTTTTAGAAGGTTTTAAAAACGCAACAGAAACCAAACGTAACTATTTTCTGAGTTGTGCCGGCTGGGATCTGGCTGCAATAAACGAAGGAACTCTGATGATGAAAAAACTTTGAATAAAATGGCAAAAACTGAACTGGTGAGAAAAAATAAAAAAAACAAATTTTTCTTCTGAATATTTAAAAATAGCAAATAAAAATCTAGATGTTCAAATCCGCTCACAAGTGCTACGAATCAGAGAGGTTGTTGTTTTAGAGCGTATTTGCGATGCAATTGAAAATGCATCTATAGCCCAAGTAGATGTGTCTAAAGCCCAAGTAGAACATTATAAATTTTAATTAAAAAAATAAGATGTTCTATTAGTCAAGATATCTTTTTAGTAATTATGTTAAAGTTGAAAGGTTAGTATTTTTTCAACAGTATACCTTGTTTACAATTCTATGCAATATATATTTCATAAGGTTTTTCAATGTTTTAACTAAAGATAAGCTTTTTTAACTTTTATTAATTAATTTTATAATTATATAATTTTATAATTAATTTTATAATTTTTTTTTTTATAATTAATTTAACTAAAGAGATGGTTAGTAAAATATTGTACAAGCTTGTAGATGAAGTTCTATTTATATACATTTTTTTTATGTTACCATATTACTATTATCAAAGGAATTTTTACTTTATGTAAAATAAAAATATTTTGTGATTTTAAGCATTAAAATGCATATCTGGTGGTATTTTTTAAATTTGTCATGTTATTTTTTAAATACCTTTTTTTGTATCTCTATGCTATATATATTTAGTATTTTTACCAAAAAATTTTTTTTTGCGATATGAAGCAAGCCTGTAGATGAATTATAGTGATATGTTTTTTGCCAACGTATTTTGTTTTTAATTTATACAATTTGCATTACATGTTTCATTTTTTTTTTTGTTAACAGATCATGCTGTATCATTTCTAGCAAAATGTTTTTTAAAAATGTGTTTTAATTTCCCTTGAATTGTAATATAATAAGTATTATATTTATTTAATATATTTATATAGTTCTAATAGCTTTTTAGGGAGACATCTGTAAAGGAAAAAGCTATTGGAAAAACATGTAAAGCGTTTTGGCCGTACTTCGATCAAGAAGTAGAATATTAATCAAGGATGAATCAATCACCCATTTTCATGTTTAGATTTAGCTTCCTTTAAGTTAAATCAACAAGAGTATCTGATTAAAAGAAAAGTTTGGGTTAGGCCAAAAAGTTCTCAATGGTTTAATGAGATTTTTAATCAAATGGAGGAATGTGAATTTAAAGAGCATTTTCGAGTAAATCGTAACACATTTAATTTCCTAGTTAATGAATTGCATCCACATTTAGGCAAAACTACCACAACTATGCGAGAGCCTATTTCAGTAGTAAAACGTGTTGCAGTTACATTACATAATCTAGCTTCATGTGAAGAGTATCGTGTTGTCTCTAGCCTTTTTGGCATAGGAAAGTCAACAGCAAATTTAATTGTTCATGAATTTATTAATGCTGTTAATGACATTTTGCTCCCTAAATATATTAAATTTCCATTGTCAGTGGAAAATTTAAATAAACATAGCAGAGATTGCGAAGCTATTCTTGCTTTTCTACAATGCGTTGGAGCTGTTGATGGAAGCCACATCCCTATTTTAGCCCCTAAAGATCAAGCAATTTCTTATTATAATTATAAAGGGTGGTATGCCATTGTACTTTTTTCCGTTGTAGACTGTCAATATCGTTTCATTTATACAAGTGTTGGATCGCCTGGTAGAAATAATGACAGCTATATTTTGCAGAATTCTTCTTTAGAAAGCAATTTTAGACTCAAGTTTATTTGATAAATGTTGTAAAGAGCTGGGCGATTCTCTTGTTCCGCTATGTTTGATAGGTGATTCAGCATTTCCTTTAACGCGTCATTTGTTAAAATCTTATCCTGAAAATTTGGAGCTTAGTGAAATTCAAAAAAATTTCAATAAAATACTTTGCGGAGCTAGAAAAGTAGTTGAGAATGCTTTTGGGCGCGTTAAAGCTCGATTCCGTGTAATTATGGAATTATGTATGGAATGCGATATTAACTTTGCTACAAGAATAGTTAATGCTTGCGTCACTCTTCACAACATTTGTGAATATTATGACGATAGGAAAAAATGTTCGTGACTCAATTGCTAAATACCTTTATGAAAGGGACAAATAAAGTAGTAATAATATTATTTATTATTTAAAGCTTAAGCTGTAATATGGTTATGTATTTACTTACTTTCCTTGAGGTTATCAAATGTGTCTAAATAAATAAATATTAAATATGTATGAACACAAAATGAGATTATTTTTAACTGGTCGTGAGTAATATATTAATGTATAATATGTTTATTCGGTACTATACCACTGATGGACTACTATTCTGTGTCGTCAAAAGCGACTAAAGGAGATGTGACCTATCTATAAAAGCCAAAAAACGGGATAACAAAATTCCAAGGTCACCTTTTTTATGGCGGGTATTTTGGGTTGGGTTTTTATTGTCTAACTCTGAGCTAGCTAAACCCTCAGCGTTATTTGTATTTAGTTTTACCTCTCATAAATGTTTAAATATTAAAAATTAATAAATTATATTAACAATGTGTATTTGCCAAACTGTTTATCACTAATTTTTATTCAAGTTTTACTTACCGTTTTTTTACTCGTTTTTTCTTTTATGTACCATCAAGCCAATTTTACATGTAAACGCTACAAGTAACATTTTGTGGAACATTTTGTTCCAGGAAAATTTGTTCCGGAATAATGTTCCACCGAACATCGCTAGTGTGAACATGGTATAACGCTATATAAAACTCTATAATTCTCACGTCGCGATATGCTACTTTGTCTTATGTCAACCTATATCGTGTGCTGTCTGGGTGTCAACCTATATTACTTAATAAATAGTAAACGTGTGTTATAATTTAACGAATATTATTCTTTAATTTTTAAATTTAACAAATTTTGCAATTTCATTTTTTTAGTTTTTTATTTAACTTTTAAAGTTTTAATTTAACAATTTTAACAATTTTTGTTTTTTACTTTTAAAAATTTAAGTGAATATAACAAGTTTTGTTAAATTCTCTACACATTACAAATAAGAGACATGTCCCTGTTATTCTAACATCTAATCTAACAAGTTGTTGTTATTTTTTTTTACAAAAAAAGGTTCAGCCCAAAATTAAAATTTTCTTTAATATGAACACAACTTGTGTACATAGTAATCTCTTTAAAGGAAACAAAATCTCCAACAACATGACATAACTTTTGAATGCAAACACTGGCTATCAAAACTTGAATATTCTATAATAACAAATATATATAAAAAGTAACAAATATATATATAAATACCAACTTAGAAAGATTAGGCTTTAAATAAATATATAGAACTTCTATAGAGTTTCTGTTAACTTCTATAAAAATTTTTATAGAAATTTTTTTTTTATTATTTTTTTTTAAAAAAAAGTTTATTGCAATTTCTATAGAAATTAATAGACAGTCTACAAAAATTCTAGAGTTTCTATAGGCCATATGTTTCAAAAGTTTGTAAAAAATTCTATAAAAATTTTTTTTCTGGGGATGTAATGACGTTTTTCTTTTGGCGCACTAAAATAAATCTTGTTTGTTTGATTGTTAAATCCCGTCTATTTTAGACTTGGGTATTGAGATGTAGGGAAGGTTTAACACACCTTGTCTTTATAATTTCATTTTTAAAAATAAACTTCACGTAAATGTAACAAGTTATCTATTAAAAAAAACTTTCACGCTTCAAAACTTGTGGCAATATTTAGATGCCACAAAACATGTGGTACCTAATTACATACTAGGGAGTGCGGAAAGGGAGGGGAGGAGATTTCGCACCGGGTGACACCATCATGACCTGACACAGAGTGGTGACATAAAAATGAATTTTTCGACACTTAAATGAAATTGTGATATTCTTTATTAATAAATTCGCTATTTCTTTTTTTCTTTTTTCTTCATTTCACTAAAAAGTTTTCGACTTTAGTTTAAGATCAAAAGATTGTATTTTTTATGCTCCAACTTTTCTTAAAAAAAAAAAAAATTCGAAACCCTTGTTGTTGGCCCTTCTAGTAAAAGTGTAGAGGAGTGACATAAAAAGTTTACCGCACTAGGTGACACCAATCCCAGCAACGCCAATGTCTAATTTACTAGTCACAAAATTGCTGTACCTATTTGCAAGACAAAATAATTGCGATACTAATTTGAAAACTACAAAACTTGCTAGTTCTAGCTGGTCTTTAGAAGTCTAGCACAGTGGACAAAGATGAAGGTAATAATTTATTCTTTTAAACTATTTACAGATAATAAAAAGATAATATTATACTAATTATGCAATAGGTAAATGATAAATGATTAAACTTACCAATTGTAACCAATAAAGATAAAGCTAAAGGTAAAAATTGTAATTAACAAAAAAAAACGTTGATTTTTGGCAACAAGTCTATACAATCTGATAAATTGTTTTTAAACTTATCAACTGAGCCAGATGTCGATGAAACTAAAAGTAAAAAAAAGATATAATCAGAAAAAAAAAAAAAAAATTAAATTAGGATTAAATCTATAATACAGCTTTAATGAACAGACTATACGCAGTTGATGAAAAATAGTTTTTAAACTTACCGCAGCAGATTTAGAAAATCTAAAAGAAAAAAAACTTAACAAAGTGAAAGCTGTAATTAACCAAAAAAAACTTCGTCAATACTGTCTTTTTTAATTTTAATCTAGTCAATGAAACTAAATTACGTTTTTTATTGGTAAGAATTTTATTGGTGTATTTTATTGTTTGAAAGTAATAAGGAATAAAAATATTGTGAAAAAAAGTCAAACTTACTCTCAATTTGAATATCTAATAAACTCTCCATGTTTGATTACTTAAAACCAAGGAAAAACAACACTAAAAGAAACTTTTTCATAGAAAATGCCTCCTAACCTTCTTCCCTCTCCCTCCTCCATCTCCGCTTTTATCGAAAAACGGAAATTAGGTACCAAAAGTACTTACAGGGTTATGCAAAATTATAAAGTGCTTTATGCAAAATTATAAAGTGCTTTATGCAAAATTATAAAGTGCTTTATTTAACAATAAATAAATGCCATTATAATAGTACAGGTCATTTTCAGAATTATCTAAGAATGCATAGGAATTAAAATACAATATTAAATTATATTTAAAAATTAAATGACTAACTGGCTGAAAAACATAAACCAAATCAGTAACGTTTTTATCTAATTAATGCAAGTTTTTTAAATTAATGTTAAAAAATAAAAATTTAAAACCTTACATAGCAAGAAAAAGTCGAATAACGATAACTAAGGAAATTCATGAAACAATTATAAACATGTCCAATTCGATAAATAATCATTCAACCGAATACATTGCTGAAACTTTAAACATTAGCCAAAGTGCTGTAAGAAACTGCATAAGAAATCATCGAGAAAGGCATCAAATTTGCTACTAAGGGAGAACGCCACAAGCAAACAATCAAAAACAAAAATTTGTTGTTCAGTGAAATCGAAAATACTTTATTTAATACGATAGCAATAAATAATGAACTGACACAAAATGAAATGGTAAATGAAGTTAATGCAGCAACCGGTATGATAATATCTCAATCAACAGTATCAAGGAAATTTCGGAAAATAAATATAACGCGAAAACTTTCATTGGTTCCCGAAGAACGAAATTCCCCAGCAAATATTGAAAAAAGGGCCATATATGCCCGCCGTATCTCGCGTATTTCTAGTGATAAATTGGTCTTTTTAGACGAATCAGGATTTAATCAGCATTTGAGAAGACGATCTGGGTATTCCCCAAAAAATGAAAAGGCATATTCCATTGTTTCCGGAAACAGAAATACAAATCGAAGTTTGATGTGTGCAATAAATATTTCTGGTGTGGTTGCTTATGAATTAAGAACTGCAGCTTATAATCCTGAAAGCTTTGAAAGATTTATAAGAAATAACCAGTGTAATTATTTCCGACAAAACCCAGACCATATACTGATAATGGATAATGTTCCATTTCACAGATCAAGAAGTATTATAGAAGTTTTAAATGAATTAAGAATAAATAGAGAATATTTACCGGCATGGTCTCCTCAATTAAATCCCATTGAGGAATTTTTTAGCATGATAAAGGCAAGATATCGCGGAATAAAAGCTTTAAATTATGAAATTAATATTAGAGATGCATTGGAAATAATTTTTAATCGAATGCGTGAAATTAACGAGGAATTAAGTGGATTTTGGAGATCAATGGAACGATGGTTGGAAAAAGCTAAACAAAACATGATTTTTGAATAAAGTAGTTGCTTAAATTAATATAATTTTTTTGAAGTCTAAATGTTAAATGACATGAGCTTATATATAGATAAATCATATATTCGATTTTTTTTATGCTTTAAATGGATTTATTAAACGATTCGAAATTTTGCATAAAGCACTTTATAATTTTGCATAAAGCACTTTATAATTTTGCATAAAGCACTTTATAATTTTGCATAAAGCACTTTATAATTTTGCATAAAACAATTTATAATTTTGCATAAAGCACTTTATAATTTTGCATAACCCTGTAACTAAATAATTTAACGATGAAATTTGGCTGCTGCAAAGAAAACGCACCAAAGGTAATGTTTATAAAAATTTAATTTTCTTTAAATAAAGCATTTATAAAATTTTAACTCTGTATCAAACAATGCTTCACATAGTATTAACTTTCGGTTTCTATGTTAAGTCTTAGACCATTAAAACATCTGTTTAATAGTCCAAGACCATTAATGTTTAATGGTCCAAGAGTTTTATTAAGTTTAATTTTCATTAAGTTAATTTTATTAAGTTTAATTTTCATTAAGTTTAATGGTCCAAGAGTTTAAAATTGGCAAATCTTAAGCTTGGTTTCCAATCGTTGCAGAAATGTTGTGCAACAATTGTGCAACAGTCGTGCGTTTTTGTTGTACAGCAATTGTTGCCAAAATTGGTTTGATTCTATTTCCGCAATTTTTGTTTTACGACATAAGTTTTGTCGTACAACCGACGTTATGTTGTGCAACTTACGCAAGAAAATGTTTTCATTATAAAGCATTATTGTTGTACAACTGTTGTACGACATTTCTACCACTATTGGAAACCATCTTTAGACTTTATTTAAATTCCTAATAAAATGATTAAATGTTGCAATTGTTTTTTAGTTTTTTTAGTAAATGGCAACGTTTGAAAGAAAAGTCGGCGAACTAAGTCTTTGTTTTTCTGTCAATATGCTATACGTTTGCACGTTCGCCAGTTTGTTGAACCATGTTTCTAAATTTTGGGTCGACCTGATGCTGACCCAAAATGATTTTGAATCAACAAATCTGATGGCTGTATCTATTACTGTTTGCTTGTTCTAAAAAGTAATTTTTTAGTTCTATTGTATCAGTTTTTTTTAATATAACTGTCTACAATCGACTTGTTGTTGTAAAATAAATTAAAGATATATTTTATGACAACCTATGACGGTGATGATTATGATCTATTATGAATATGATCGGCAATGATGATCTCCACAAGTTTATAGTAAGACTTATGTCAACGAGGTAAACAGTGCAAGCACAACTTTGAACAAATTACTATTGCGTCGAATCATGATCTGCCCGTGTAATAACAGTTTTGATTCCAAAAGAGTAAAATGACCGCGTAACAAACAGAACCGTTATAGGTTTCCCTACTAAATCTTGTTTGACAGAATAAAAATTCAATTTTCAAGCAAATCAATCAAATCAAGGTTGTTTTTTTCCGTTTTCTCAAATTTTTATTAATATCTTATTTCTACGTTGTTAAACAGAATTATGAGCGCAAAAGTACTTGTAACTTTTTTTGAATGTATTTCGGTCAAACTCAAAGTCCTACCTTGCAAGTCCTTATTTGCAAATTGGTGAGTTATAATTAGCATAAGTATTAGACACATTTATTTACCCATTTTATAGGAATGGACGCAGTTGAGTGTATATGCATCATTTTTTTTAATCAAAAAATTACCTTGAAATGGTTACTATTTAGTGTACTTTTCAAGAAACTACTGTCTATCGGTTAATAGTTTAAATAGTCGAAATATTACTGTAAAATTTCTGTTCTGCGTAACAAAGTTTTATAAATAAGATAGTTTAATTTCAAGTTATATAATCCTATTTTAAGTTTAAACTTTGATTGGTGCTGGAATTATTTTTACTCCAAAGACATTTGGAGTAAAAATAATACAAAAACAATACAAAGTTCATAAAAAAGAAAAGATGACCAGCTAATTAAAGAACAATTTTTCATAGCTGGAGAACATTTTAATTTGAGTGAAAAAAAATACTTTAAATACCATATCCAAGTGTAAAATATTTTGAAATTTTATTTAAGACAATTTTAAAGACTCAAAATTGCAAAGAACATTATAAAAAATTAAAACTCTGCATAAACAAAATAATTTTCTACTAACAAATATTACAATGTTGTTAGCATTCCTATATTAATATATCTCTAGTTCCATCAACCAAAACATTATTTCGTGTTACTCGTCATTCAGCAAAGTTTTTTTTTTTTTTTTTTTTTTTTTTTTTTAAACATGTTTATTTCACAACTACGAAGTATTTACAATTGACCAATCATCGATTGGCGAATAAAGATATACAAATATAAATATCGTAAACATAAAGTCCAAAATAAATAAGAGATAAATCTAAAATATTGTTACATTCAACTTTGAGACTTGATAAAAATAAATACAAAGTACACAATAGAATAACGTGAACGTAAAAATTATCCAAGAAATAAACCTTTTATATTCTTTCAATCAGAATAAAATATATATATATATATATATATATATATATATATATATATATATATATATATATATATATATATATATATATGTACATATATATAAAAGTATGATAAAAACAAGATTTGTATAAGAATTAAGAAAATAATTAATTGTTTGTAGTTATAGGAAGCTCGCAGAAGACTGGGATCAGTCTTGTCATCGAGTACCTTTTAGACGTGTAATACACATAAAAATCAGTTGCATACGTGGCAAATATGTATGTGATACATATATGCCTAAAAATTATTAATGTTACTAACTCCTTTTAGTATTATTTTTGTTAATTTCTTTGAAAAGTTACATTTTTTGTTTTATTAGGGTTGTTTTATATTATTTTAAATTTTTAAATTTTAAATTGGAGCTTAAAAAAACTCTTTGTAGTGGTTTAACTTGATTATTGTAGATTTTAACTTTCTTTTTAGGGACTGTTCGTTGTTTAAATTTATTAGCGATTCGTTTCTAGAAATTATTTTGTTAAATAAATAGGGACCACGATGTTTTATTGAAAACTTTGAGAGTTTAGTTTTTTCAAAGGGTATCTTAAAGTTTCCCGTTGCTCTTGTATTGTACTTGTTTACGTTGTTTTCAAAAAAGTGTGCTGTAAAATGTTCTGGAACCAGACTTAGTTTATATTTAAACATGAAAAGTATATTTTGATAAATATTAATTTGAAAAATATTTAAAGCGTTCATTTGCTCCAGTAGGGGTTGAGCATGAGTAAGTTTGTTTTTGTTGAACACTAGTCTTGAAGCGTGCTTTTGACGCAGATAAAGCGGTTTTAATTTAGTTATGTGGGTACTGCCCCATGCTATATTGGCATACATAAGATAGCTATGTATAAATGAAAAATAAACGAGTATTAGACTTTTTTGTGTCAAGAAAGATCTTGCTTTATAAAGTAGACCTATGTTCTTTGATATTTTTGTATTTATATAGTTGATGTGGGGCTTCCAAGAGATGTGTTCATCAATTAGAACACCTAAAAACTTTGTATTTTGAGCTCTTTCAATGGATATATTTTCTATAGTAATTGTTGGTAGGTTAAGGGGAAGCTTTTTAATTTGTTGAGTAGAGTGGAATAGAATATATTTTGTTTTATCTATATTGAGTGATAGTTTGTTTGATTTAAACCATATATTAATTTTTTTTAATTCATTATTTGTTTTTTTGAACAAGTCTTCAATAGACTTTGATGAGTAAAATAAGTTTGTATCATCGGCAAAAATTATAGTTTTGAAAATATTAGAGGCATTTGGGAGATCGTTAATGTAAATAAGAAACAAAAGAGGAGCAAGAATGGACCCTTGGGGTACACCACATTTTGTTTTCAGTAAATTCGAGTTGCTTTTTTTATCTATAACAACACACTGGTGTCTGTCATTAAGGTAGTTTTTAAACCAAGTTAAAGCTTTATTTTTAACGCCATAATTTTCCATTTTTGTCAGTAAAATCTCATGGTTGACGGTGTCAAACGCCTTTGACAAATCAATAAAAATTCCTAACGTGAATTTTTTTTGTTTAAATGATTTACTAATTCTATTTGAGAGATCAAGGATTGCATGCTCTGTTGCGTGTCGCTTTTGGAAACCGTATTGACCTTTATTGATAATTTTATTAGTTTTTAAATATTCATTTAATTTATTGTAGATAATTCGCTCAAGAAGTTTTGCAAATACCGAAAGGATTGAAATAGGTCTATAATTGTTTAAAGAGTTGGCTTCTCCTGATTTATAGATTGGTATAATTTTTGAGATTTTAAGCAAATCAGGTACAATACCCGTTGTAACTGATGAGTTAAATATTTGGTAAATAGGATTACGTATTTCCTCAAAAACATCTATCACTACTTTGCAAGAGATATCATCGATTCCTGGGGACTTGATTTTAAGTGATTTCTTAGCAATCTCAAGTTCGTCTTGGTTTAGTTCGTTGAAATTTAAGGAGCAGTGTGTGCCTGTTAAGTAATTTTTAAATGAATTGTTTGGGCATTGAATTTTTGATGCAAGATCAACACCAATATTGGCAAAGTAGCTGTTGAATTCATTAGAAATATCACGCTTATTGTTTGATTCCTTTTGATCAATTATTACTCTAGAAGGCATTTTATTAGAATTAGTTATACCTTTACCAATTATTTCCTTCATAATGTCCCATGTCTTTTTTAAGTCTCCATTAAATTTTTGCATTTGGTTGGAGTAATATAATATTTTATGTTTTTTTTTAATTTTTTCAAATAAGTTTTTGTATTGCTTCTAGAGAAATAAGTTCGCTTCGCTTCTATTTTTTAAATATTTTATGTAAAGTTTTTGCTTTTGTTTTGAGGATTTTCTTATTTCTTTTGTTATCCAAGGACAGTTTAAATATTTCGCTTTTATTACTTTTTCTTGAATTGGAAAACTCTTATTATATTCTAGCATAAATAAATTAATAAATTTAATGTACGCAGAGTTTGTGTTTCCTGAGTTACATTCTCGGTAGACTTTTTGCCAATTTGTTACCGATAGCAAGTCCTTAAATTTTTGAGTAGATGTTTCATCGATAATTCTTTTATAAAACAAGATTTTTGAATTATCAATTTTTCTGGAATCTAGTGATAAAGAAAAGTAGATTGGAAAATGATCTGAGATGTCTGTTTTTATTATTCCTGTTTTTAGAGAAACATCTTGTATTGAGTTTGTTAATATATTATCAATGGCAGTGGTAGATTTGGAAGTTACCCTGGTAGGTTTGTTGATAATCGGGAAGATATTGAGCTGAAACATGTCGTCAAAAAAAATTTTAGTAACCGCATGTTCGTTGTACTTTAAGATATTTATGTTTATATCTCCAATTATGAACAATTTTTTTTGTTCTCTATTTTTTGTTATTAAATATTTCATATAGTTTGAGAATTTACAGGTATCACCATCGGGTGGTCTGTAGCACGTAGAAATTAGAAAGTTTTTTGACGCGTTCGTAACTTCCATTGTGAGGACCTCAATATTTTCATCAGAGTTTGAGAGATCATTTCTTAACTTAGTGTTTAAATCATTTTGTATATAAATCACAATTCCTCCTCCTCTTTTGTTAATAGATCTTTCTTTAGAAAATATTTTATAGTTTGGAATTTGGAGGTCAGAGTTTTTTTCTGCTGTTTCGTTGGAGCACCAAGTCTCTGTAAGGCAGATCATACTGAAAGTATGTTTGCATTCAAGGAGAAAGTTTTTTAATTTGTCTATATTTATAGGTAAACTTCTGATATTTATATGTATTGCCGTAAAATTATTTAGAGTGCTTTTAAGTTCAACTTTAAAATTTTTAATATCAAAGTATACAGAATCAGAGTATTTTTCGTTTAAAAAAAAAACTCGTCATAACGATTTCGTGGTAAATGTTTATTGACAATTTCAAAGATATTAAAACGCAGCGTTTCTAAGTCTATTGTTTCATTAACCATAATGGTTTTTTAGAAATTAAATTTTTTAAAAATTTGCTCGCTAAAAATAGCTGTTTATTTTTTAAATTCTCTGCAATAAATTTTATCAAATTTAATAATGGCGTACTTACCAGCTTTACGAAGTCGTTTCACTTCTTCCCATAATTTCTTACGATGTTCAATCGTTTCTTTCGCGTAGTCTTCGTTTATGTAAATCCCAGTCTCTCGTAATTTTTTGGCGCTGTTCAAAACTTTAGTTTTATCTAAAAAATTCAGTAGTTTGAAGATTATTGTTCTCGGTGGTTTGTCTTCTCTTGCACTTCCAATACGATGTGCTCGTTCGATTTCAATTTCTTCAGATATTTTTAGCTTATTTTTAATTATTTCTTTAACCGAGTTTCTACAATCTTCCCAGCTTTCACCTTCTATTTCTTTAATACCATCAATCCTTAAATTGTTTCTGCGTGAGCGGTTCTCTAAGTCCACAGTTTTTTTTACTAAATAATTTATATCATACCCCAAATTTGCTTTAACTTTTTCTATTTTTTCCGTAATATTTGCTTCTTGAAAGTTTAGGCTCTCTTTAATTTCATGTATATCTTTTTCAATGATAGTATTGTTTGATTTATTTCGTTTAACTTCGTATTCAAGCTTATCTAGTCGTTCTGCGAGAATTTTTAAGTTTCCACTTATTATTACTGTAAAGTTTTTTTCTTGCTCTTTTAATAACTTGCTTGTTTCCGATAATATATAAGCTTTTTGTTCTTCAAGCTTGCTTGTTATTAACTTTTCGATGTTTTTTAACGTTAGATCCATTTTTAATTTGTTAGTAAGTTAATAATAATAATAATAAAAAACACGTCCGCTCGCGGTGATCTTGAAAATCAAATTCACATTCTTTTACTGTATATGTTCAAATCTGTATAATCAAAGTCACATTCTTTTACTGTATATGTTCTTCCATCGTCTTTTACTGTATATATTCCTCCATCGTCTTAAAAATTTTATTCATCTAGTTACTTTTATTATATTATATTTATAGTGAATTTTTATAACTTTTAAGTCTGTCGACCGATAACTTGCTTTTCAACTATATTCTTTGTTTTCTGTTAAATACCAACTTAAGTATTGATTGCTAGCAGCCTTTTTGAGAAAGTAAAAAATGTCAAGGCCAGAGGCGGACGCATGTTTAAAGCTTAAGACGTCAAAAAAAGCGCCTTACACCTTGTTTTAGGTTACGTAACTATACCCACTGCTCAAATAAAATTGTGGAGGTGTGGGGGGGGGGGGGGGGGGGAGAGGAAGAAGAGGACTATACTAACTTGTTGTATTAAAATATTAATACTATAATTTCTATTGAAGAAAACTTTAAATGACTTACCTGAGAGCAATACAACCATTTTACTGTCTTTTAATCAAGACAAGATACAATTTCTGCGCAAAAATTTCTTCTTATTGTTCCATCTATAAAACAACACACAAGGCCTTCATTACTAACGACACACAGCAAGCGAAACAAAAAACCTTCATTATTAACCGTTTTATTATTGTTATTTATAAATTTATCCAAGAAAGTTTCATGAACTACGCTTAAATTAACAAGATCCTCGGTTTTAAATCTTTTCAGAACATCTTCAAAAAAGTTATAACCCTTGCTTTGACATTAAAATTCAAAAGGTCTTTTTAGTGTACTTTAAAAATCATAATTTAACAAAAGTATACTTTATTGAGAGTAATTTTATTAAATCATGATACACCGGAGTACATTCGCAACCAATCAATTACCAACTGTTGCAGATGCTGCAAAGTATAGTTTACGCAGGTGAGTTTATTTTTAATTAAGTCAGATTGCTATTTTAATAGCAAAGAACCAATTAAATTATCCAATTTTCTCATATCCTGAAAAGAATACTTTACATTAGAAAGATTTGTAAAATAAATTTTACTATCTTTGCAAAGCATAGTTCTCACTGCAAACGTTTTTCAAAATAAATTTTTTAACATAAATGTAAAAGTCGGCAGTGTAATATTCCACTGGTGGTTGGTAGACATCGTAAAAACAAAATTTATATTTATTTTTTAACCCAGTCACTGGTAAAAAAATATGTATAAATAGGCAAATTTGCAGGACTTTACGGTGTTTAAATCTCTGGTTTTGCTGAGTAGTCTACTGAATTGAGATAATTCCTTTGAGAATCTCAAACTTTGGATTATAAACAATTACGTAGTTGATATATTACAGCATGTCAGAGTTATTTAGAGGATTGTGGGTATAAAAATTATTGATATAAATGTTGGATTGAAAT